ACGCCGCCTCCCGTCAGCGATCCGCCACCGGAGCGGTGGATACGGGTGGCTGCCCGGTGTAAAAGGCCTGCCGGAGGGGAAACTGGCGTGTGACAAGCAGTGCTAGCCCTGAAAAACTAGAAATTGTATTTTGCATTTCTGTATCTTAACAGTCGCCCACGTACCCCAGTGAAACTCACCGCGTACCTTTCAATGGACTGGCCACGCTGCGTGCGCTGTGACTGACCGGTGTGCATTTCTTCACAAAACACTGCCTCTCCTTCCTCCCAGCCTCTTCACCTTGTAAGTATCTGGTGGTGCCAACGACTTAGGAACACTTAAATGCAATCACATGAAAAGAAACTCTCTTCCTAATTTAAGAAGTGTTCCAGTGCTTTTCGCTGTGCTCTTCCCTGTCGCACACACTTTCTTGCTGATAGCTTACGTGTCAAGATGGTATAAAGTTGAATAAAAGAACATAGAAAAGTTCTTTTACCTCCCAAAAGTTAACAGATATAATTTTGATGCTTTGTCTTAGCTTCATTTGCATTTTCATAAGCTGTCTATGCGTGATTAGCTTTGTTACCACTAATAGTTTAAGGTAGATTTCACAGCAGTAAGTCATGTGTTTGCTGTATAGGGACGTTCTTAAAGGAAAACCAGCGTAACAGATGAGAGTAAAGAACTGTTTGAACTGTAGAAGGTCAAATTCTGAGCCTAAGTCAATGATACTACCCACAATTCCAGCTTTTAACAAATATAGAGTGAACAACCTTTTTATATTTACTCTCATGTATTCCAAATACAGGGCTGGTGTATACCATGAGTATGAAACACGGAACAAATTTTTCAGATACAAAGTATGTTTTAGTTTCTTCTCCACACACTTGCAACATGAGTGAAAAACATGTCCCTCAAAACGTACTCAAGCAACCAGATTTCCACCTTGCGAATTGGAAAAGGGCATCTGTAAGTGAAGGGGGCTTTGCCTCAAGCCTGCACGACTCCGAAGAGTCTGACTCTGAAAGCCTCGTTCAGGAGAGACAGTATCAGTTAGACCTCCAGCAGCGGATTCGTGAAAATGAAGAGCTTGTAGGACTCTATTCTGATGAGCTGGAGAATGACAGCTTAGAAGAAGATAGCTCGGAAGAGATGAGTTTAAAAGAACAAGAAGGAGCTGAGTATGACACAAATCGATACACAAATGGAATACTAAAGAATGATGGTAACGGAAGGTAAGGCATAGGATTTTAGTAGATGAGCAGAATAGTTCTGACACTTTAAAACCTTACATTCCTCAGAATATACATGACATCTTCAAGACCAATTTATATCACCAAAGTGATATTAAAGAGCACCTACAGACTTAGTTACACACAAAGATGTACTGTTTCATCTTACCCACATTCCTAATTATTATACCCATTTCTTCTACGTAGCCTCACCTGTTTATCATGTTGGCTGAAACACCAGTGTAGGAGGGTAAGATGGAAAAGAAAACACCTGTCACAGACCTGTACAGGCTGCCCTCATACTGGCTCTACACACTACACACAGAGGCGAACGCTACGTGCCTATTTAGTTGCCTCTAAAACAGGCAGGCAAAAAGATAGGAAGCGGTGAACAGATACATGCTAACCCCTACTCTTAAGCATTACTGGGTAAGCTAATAGGGGAGCATTTAACTACAGTTTCTTCTGGTAAAAGCCTGTTAAATGTTTATCCCGTCTTATTCCTGACTACTTGATCCAGAACTGCAGGCAGTGGAAGGAGTCCAATGACCGTAATGGGCTGTGGACCAGGCACTACAATATTTAGCAGTAAGTGCTGGCTACCATCTCAAATAGGCAACTGTTGCCATGTAACTGTCAGACCTTCAGATGGTGCAGCAGCTCTGAGATCACGGGCTGGAGGGTTTCGGGAGCTGGGCCGTGAAAAAGGGCCAGAGAGAAAACAAGAACCAGTACCAACACATTCTCTTTGCATTCCTTACAGAAAGACCTGTGCTGAGCAAACCAAGCCACTTCCTGTAAGAAAACTGAGAGGCAAAAATTGATGGGTTGAATAAACGCAGTTTTGTCCTTATAGCTGTATAAATTTAAAATTAGAATTTCCAGGGTTACTACCACTTTTAAACATTCTTTAGAAAGCATTAACTTGGTACATAAAATAAAATTTAATTTGCTGTCATGTGCATAAAAGGTTTAATGCTGTATAAATTGGGAATAACTCTCAAGTTTAAAGGGATTAAATTAAACCTGAAGTAATAATAATGTGCAGTTTCAATTTAATTGTCTACTTAAAATAAAATGGCAAACAAATGAAGGCTAAATGATTAATAGCATGCTTTTATTCACCTCCTCAACAGACAAAATGGCCAGTTATTGAATATTTTATTGTGAGTGCAAATGATGTTAATTGTACTAGAAACATGCTCTAATTTTTAGTAATTTTTTTGACTGAATACTATACTGAATGTGAGGCTCTTCATTAAATGGAAATTTGATTTTATTTTGTTTGAACTTAGCCTAGTAAGTACTCAAATACAGTCCATTAACCGGAGCAAATATCACAGCATATACATATGAAACCCCCTCTCTACATCCATTACTAACCTCGGAATTTGAAGAGGAAACGCTGCATCTGTTGTCTACATACAACACTTTTGTTGATGAGTACAGGGTCCATCTAACCTTTATATCAAGTTGGAGGGAGGAATAAAAGGTGCACTTTTTGTCTGCAGATGATTAGAGATGAAGGGGCTCTTCACACTCGTTTTGTTCCCGTGTGGTGACCTGGCCTGCATAATACAATTGAGCTGCTGTGCACACATTTCCGCACAATAGAACTCTTTATCATTATACTCTGTTATTTGAATCATTGCAATTATATCACATATTTCTATACTCACTTCAAAATATGGTCACCTATTTCCCTTTACCTGTGGTGTATGACAACTAGGAATAATGATGTTTTCACCAGTGTAAATCATCTAATCTCTAGTATACAGGATACCACGGCACCAATGCTTACCTGAAATGAAGAGCATTGCTAGAGAAACAGATTATTTTATTATTAGGAGCCACCTGAAATATAGGCGTAGGCATGTAACTAATTTAGAAAAGATGAATGAATGATTTATTGAAATGTTAATATAATTAACTGTGCCACGGTTTGCAGAATCCAGCAGATCAGTACATTTCTTTTAATAGGGGCTGAAGAATCAACCAGGTTTCAGTGCCTATAAATGTCACTCTGAAAGGCTCTCCATTTGTCAGTGCCCAAGAAACCAGGACTATACTGCAGTTCCAGTTAAGAAAAAACAGTGTTAAAAGCTTTTTTCTCCCACGCCCCTTACACCTGTCACTGCCCACACATCTCTTGGAAGCCCATTTGTATGTATTTGGCTCCTGCAGTTGTTTTTTCTCCTGTTGGATCAGACCATAAATCATAAATAGAATCAATTGTGGGTTTTTTAAGGCAGATCATCTTTCTTTGCTTTATGACAAATGTAGTTCAGAGCGACAATTTGGACACTTGTTAAAAAAAAAAGAAGCCAAACCTACAAACCTTTTTGATATATGTTTTTCTACACTTTTCTCCATTACAGCCTATTTTTTAACGAGAGGTTACTTTAAGTCTTTTATAGAGAGTTTTTATTGAAAAATCATGATGTTTCATAGGACTGAGAAGAGAGAATAAAAATACAGAGCTGTAGGCTGTTCTTGCTTAGACAGTCTAAAACTGACATTAGAGAGAGCGGTTTTAGCAGGAATATCACTTTTATATCACACAGCAGAGTCTTTGAAGAATGAGCAACACATACTGTCTTTTGTAGGCTACACCATTTTAAAGAAAACAACAGAAGCAGTACAATACGTCATTTCATCTTTTAGTTGATTCTGCTAGTACTTACAATTTCTATGTTAAATTTAGGATAACGATTGTATTCTACTGTTATCTGAATGTTAGACCAATTTATCATTCACTGATAATAAAAATTAAAAATGAAGAGGAGGTCTTGCCTAAATTTTCAACTAAAAAAATGTTCAATGAAACTGTTCTGATCCAGATCCCACAAATGGCCATACTGTATGCACTGAACTAATTCAGTTGACCATATTTGCAGATTTGTTGGCTCAGCTTGCACACTGAAATAATATAGAATTTATATAATTTATACATAAATGGGTTTGTGTTTCCTTTTTAAATAGGAAACAACAGCCTGTGGACAAATATTTCAACCTAAGATACAATCCTAATTGGAAGAACACAAAAGAGGTAGCAGAATTTTCCGAGGTGGAAAAAGCATGTCAAGTTGCTGGAAGAAGCAGTGTGGACTTTTCCCAAGATTCATTTTACCTCCATTCCAATGGCTCCCCAGAAGAAAAGAATCAACACGAGGCAAAGTCACGAGATTCATTCTCAGAGTCTGGTACAGAATCACTAAGCTTTCATGAACCAAATGCCGTGGTCAGCAATGAACCTTTTGGGCTGCATACCAAAGGGAAGGAATCTGCAGATAGCTGTCATTTCAAAGATAGCCCCAGCACAGATGGCAGTGCTTTTCCTCTTCAGAGTCAAGAAGATCGACCACAAAGAGCAAAAAAAGACTTTGTGGAAAAAAATAAACAGACTTTAGGATTACGTTCAGAGAAGATAAATTCCTATCTTCAATTACACAGTAAAAAGCAAGAAGTTGTTCTTCAAGAGCAGGTAGGGAACTTTTACATGTTTTCTAATTGGTATAAACTGAAGACTGTTAAGTGGAATAGCTGCATGATTAGGTTTGCAGAGGAGGTAAATAGATTTACAGTCTATCATGCAACTGATAACTTAGGATTTCCAATGAGAATCTTGTTCACTCTTTATGGAATAATTAACAACTCCTCAGTTACTCACAACCCCAGTAATGGCCTTGTTACAAGCCTAGTTAGGCTGCATATACTCTTGGCTATGAACCATGCCACAGAGTTGCTCTCTCACTAGTTTTTAATCTTGATGCTGAAGAAATGCTGCGTGCCTTCCTATGGGATCTACATTGCACCTTATCAGTGGTTCTTTTTTTGCTGCCTCTGATTTTTCTCTGCTTGGCCAACATGGATTTGGTAATGATTATCTCTGCTAATAGGATATTCCAAGTTTTGCTCAATGCAGCAAATGCAAATTCATAGGATCACAGAGTCATAGAAGGCTTTGGGTTGGAAGGGACCTTAAAGACCACCTCGTTCCAACCCCCCCTGCCGTGGGCAGGAACACCTTCTATCAGTTGCTCAAAGCCCCATCCAAGCTGGCCTGGAACATTTCCAGGGATGGGGCAGCCACAGCTTCTCTGGGCAACCTGTGCCAGTGCCTCACCACCCTCACGGTAAAGAATTTCTTCCCGATTTCTAATCTAAATGTACCTTCTTCCAGTTTAAAGCCATGGCCCCT